CTCATCTTGAGGTTATGCTAATAAGGTTATTATTGGTGGGCCCTGAGACAGGTTCAGGTTGGAGGTTGGTTGCTAGAGCAACCAAACCAAGAGATCAGAGGGTTGGAATATTCTACTTAATTTCTTTTTCTTTTTTTCAAGTTTATTTATTTTGAGCTCACGTTGTACAAGTGGAGGAGGAACAGAGAGAGAGGGAGACATTATCCCAAGCAGGCCCTGCACCATCAGCACACAGCCTGATGTGGAGCTTGATCCCAGGAACTGTGAGATCATGACCGGGCCAAAATCAAGAGTCAGATGCTTAACCAACTGAGCCACCCAGGGCTCCCAGGGGTTGGAATTTTTAATTCCACCCTGGACCTCTAGGGAGGGAAGGAAGACTGGAGATCAGAGACCATGGCCAATGATCTCATCAACCGTGCCTGTGTAATGGAACCTCCATAGGAAACCCTAAGTAATGGTGTTCAGAGAGCCTGTGGCTAGATTAGCACATCCAAGGGCAGGGGTGTGGCATGCTTAGAGGGAGATTCCCCTAGAGAGAGCGTGGAAACTCTTCACACATACCCTATCTCCCCATACCTTGTCCCCTGTATTTCCTCCATTTGGCCGTGCCTGAGTTGAATCCTTTTTACTAAACCAGTAGTAGTACTGGGGACACTGGCTGGCTGAATCACAAGAGCAGATGACTCTTGATCTCAAGATCATGAGTTTGAGCCCCATATCGGGTGTAGAGATTCCAAAAACAAAACAAATGAAACTTTAAAAAAATGCTTTCCTAAGTTCTGTGAATTGTTCTAGTGAATTATTGAACCTGAGCAGGGAGTAATCGTGGGAACCCCTAAATTTGTAGCCAATCAGGCCGTGTGGCAGTTTGGGCACCTTATTTTAACTGCCATCTGAAGTGGGAGCAGTCTTGTGGGACTGAACCCTTAAACCTGTGAAGTCTGACACTAACTCTGGGTAGTTGATGTCAGAATTGAATTGAATTGACTGCAGTGTTGTCAGGAAAAAGGCATCTCAATTAGTGTCAGAGAGGACATCCCACATTTGGTGTCAGGGGAAAAGAAAAAGCTCCAGAGGAAACTTTGGGGTAATGGCAATGTTCTGGAAATCCATTATAATAGTAGTACGTTTCTCAAAATCACAAAACTGTACAATAAAGTTGAATTTTTATTTTTAATTTCTTTCGAGAGAGAGCGTAAGCAGGAAGAGGCAGAGATGGGGGTGGGGGAGGGGCAGAGACAGAGGATCCCAAGCAGGCTCCACGCTGTTAGCACAGAGTCTGATGTGGGGCTTGAACTCAAGATCATGAGATCATGACCGGCGCAGAAATCAAGACTCAGAGGCTTAGCCGACTGAACGACCCAGGCACCCCAGTACTTTTTTTTTTTTAAAGTAAATTCTGTGTCCAACATAGGACTTGAACTCATGACTTTCAGATCAACAGTGGCATGCTCTATGGACTGAGAGAGCCAGGCACCCCATTTATGTACTTTTCTCCCCTCTCAATTTGACAATGCCAGATTAGTGTGGGTACAGAGGACCAATCACTATTAGCCTAACGAGCAAGAAAGAACAGGATGAGAATGTAAGGTGTTCCTTCTCTTTCCAGCAAAGGAAGGTGGGGATAAGCAAGATTGAGGGCAGCTTTGCAGGTAAGGTGGAGAGGCAAGTCAGTTATAAGAAGCAATTGGATAGGAAGGACAGAATTTTCAACAATTGTGTTTATGGTGCATTTGAAACACATTTTTTATTTTTATTTTCAGTGTTTTTAATTTAAGTTTGAGAGAGAGAGAAAGAGAGAGAGAGAGAGAGAGAACCTGTGAGCTGGGTGGGGAGCAGAGGGAGAAGGAGAGAGAGAATCCTAAGCAGATTTTACATTGTCAACACAGAGCCCCACTGGTGGGGCTTGATTAGAGGAACCGTGATATCATGATGTGAGCCGAAATCAAGAGTCGGATGCTTAAATGACTGAGCCACCCAGGCACCCCATAAACATATATTTTATTTTTAAAAACTTAAACCAAAAGCAGACATTTATGTGATTTTTTAAAAAAGGTGTATACCCAATGTGGGACTTGAACTCACAACTGGGAGATGCAGATTCAAATGCTGTACCGATTGAGCCAGCCAGGTGCCCACATTTATGTGATTCTTTTTTGAAAAATAATATACATATGTTATTTAAAAGCTTCCTTTTCAGGACACCTGGGTGGCTCAGTCGGTTAAGTGTATGACCGGCTCAGGTCATGATCTCACGGTTCATGAGTTCCAGCCCCATATCTGGTTCTGTGCTGACAGCTCGGAGCCTGGAGCCTGTTTCAGATTCCGTGTCTCTCTCTCTCTCTCTGTCCCTGCCTTGCGCTCTCTCTCTCTCTCTCAAAAATAAATAAACACTAAAAAAATGGAACCATATAGTGGCACATGAGGTACATGAACCTTAAGCCGGAAAATGAACAGATCCACAAGTGGGGTTTTGGAAAGATGAACAAGGAGCAAATTGCCCTGACAGATAACACTTGGATTGCTCCATCTCTTGGTAAATATGGCATCATCTGCATGAAAACTCTGATTCGTGTGATGTATACTGTTGGAAAACACTTCAAAGAAGCAAACAACTCCCTGTGGCCCTTTAAATTATCTTCTTCATGAGTGGAATGAAGAGAAAGACCACCCACTTTGTAGAAGGTGGAGATGTTGGCAACAGGGAAGACCAGATTGGCAGGCTTAGTAGAGGGATGCACTGAGGTGTCTACAGTGATAATTTGTGTAATCTGGTAGTTAATTAATAGTGACTGCTTTCAGGAGCACCTGGGTGGCTCAGTCAGTTAAGTGTCTGACTTTGACTCAGGTCACGATCTCACAGTTCATGGGTTCGAGCCCCGCATCGGGCACTGTGCTGACAGCCAGCTCAGAGCCTGGAGCCTGCTTCAGATTCTGTGTCTCCCTCTCTCTCTAACCCTCCCCTGCTCACGCTGTCTCTCTCTTTCTCTCTCAGAAATAAATAAAACATTAAAAAAAATTTAAAAATAGAGACTGCTTTCAAATGGGAAAAAAAAATGTCATTCCTCAGCCTTTTGTCCTTTGCTTTGTCCTTTGAAGAACATTATGCTTTAGCAAAAAAAAAAAAAAAAAAAGTCCCCAGCAGGATCTCCTGTCCCACTCTGTCTTGGGGCCAGACAGGATCCCCCGGCTCAGCCAAGTTTGAATTCCCTCTTTTGGGGGGCTTTACAGTTCACCTCCAGTCACCCAGGCTCAGACTTTCAGCGTTAGCTTTTGATTCTTCTCCTAGCCTCCTGAGTCCACTGGACTGTTTGTCGGCATTGACATTTAGTGCTTGGGGCGCCTGGTGGCTCAGTGGTTTAGGCGTCCTACTCTTGATTTTCAGGTCCTGATCTCACGGTTCCTGAGCCCTGCATCAGGCTCCTCAATGACAGTGTAGAGCCTGCTTGGTATTCTCTCTCTCTCTCTCTCTCTCTCTCTCTCTGCCCCTCTCCACTCATTCTCTCTCTCTCTCAAAATAAATAAATAAATATTATAAAACAAAACATTTAATTCTTGTGTTTCTACACACCCTGCCATTCCCTAATCCTGCCCTAAATCAACAGCAAGAAGTGGTTTCCTAACTGGCCTCATTGTCTTTCAGACCTTCCTGGAATCATATTAAAATAATCTAAAATTCAAATCTAAAATTTAAACCATCTTCCTGCACACTTTTTTTTAATGTTCATTTTTCACAGAGAGAGAGAGAGAGAGAGAGAGATAGAGCATGAGCCGGGGAGGGGCAAAGAGAGGGAGACACAGAATCTGAAGCAGGCTCCAGGCTCTGAGCTGTCAGCGCAGAGCCCAACACAGGGCTCAAACCCATGAACCTGAGCCGAAGTCGGATGCCCAGCCAACTGAGCCACCCAGGTGCCCCTCCCTGCACCCCCTTTGGCTAGGCTTTGAAGGCCTGATCCTTATCCATCTCTGGCACCGAGTTCCCATCACTCTCTTAAACATCTCCCTCTGGCCTTGGTCATGGTGTCCTTAAACACACTCTACCCATCTTCCTGCCTATGCATACGTTGTTCCCTCACCTAAAGAAGCCTCCTCCAACTCTCCAACTATAGAAATCTTGCATATCCCACCAGATCCAGCTCAAGTCTTCTCTCTTTCCCTGTCCATTCTAAATTTTTTAAAAAAATGTTTTATTTATTTCTGAGAGAGACAGCCTGAGAAGGGGAGGGTCAGAGAGAGAGGGAGACACAGAATCCGAAACAGGCTCCAGGCTCTGAGCTGTCAGCACAGAGCCTGACGCAGGACTCGAACCCACGAACCACGAGATCATGACCTGAGCCGAAGTCAGACGCACATCCAACTGGGCCAACCAGGCACTTCTCTAAATTTTTTAAAAAAATTTATTTATTTTGGGGCGCCTGGGTGGCTTAGTCTGTTAAACGTCCGACTTTCGCTTAGGTCATGATCTCGCGGTTCGTGGGTTCGAGCCCTGCGTCGGGCTCTGGGCTGCCAGCTCGGAGCCTGGAGCCTGTTTCAGTCTGTGACTCCCTCTGTCTCTGACCCTCCCCTGCTCACGCTGTCTCTCTCTCTCTCCTAGAAATAAATAAAACATAAAAAAAATTATTTTGAGAGCACACACAGGAGGGGAGAGAGAGGGAGAGAGAGAATACCAAGCAGGCTCTGTGCTGAAGAGTCTGATGTAGGGCCCAAACACACAAACCCAGAGATCATGACTTAAGCTAAAACTGAGTCAGATGCTCAACCAACGGAGCCACCCAGGCACCACCTCATTCTTCGGTGAAAGCAGTTCCTTCGAATTCAAAGCTCCATTACATTCTCTTTAACTTTCAGCACCTTACTTGGAGTAGGTCACTATTTGGAACAGGTGGCATTCAGAATATTATAAGTAAATTCTCTTACATAGATTTGGGGTTTGAAGAATTGGAGGGTATTAAGCTCATGCAAATACCAAACTCTGACCCTTCTTTTCTCTTTAAAAGTGGCAGGAGGAAATAATGCTGCTTCTTGGGATAGGTGATACGTCTACTGATTCCAGTTTTTTCGAGCCTAAGATTCAGCCTTTGGGCATCCAAATGGAAGACAGAGACCAGGGCATCCAAATGGAAGACAGAGACCAGGACCTAAAAAGGTCTAGAAATTTTTTTCAGCATTTTTCATTTTTCAGCATATTAAAGTGGGTTACAAAAATTGTGGTGTGTCTGAAATCTTTCCATTGCACCATCCTTTTCTCACAATCCTGCCGTCTCTGTGCCCTTATGTTTAATCTTATTTAAGGAAACATCGCAAACTGAAAATGGAAATAACCTTGGATTATAGTATTCTGGACTCTGTGTTGGGTAAGGAGGCGGCCGCAGACTGCTGCGCCGAGAGATGACTCTGCAGGAACGGTGGTTACCCAGCGCTGTGCAGTCAACTCCAGGCCGGGCCAAGGGAGCCGGTGTTGGGTTCCATCCGAGCCCCGCACATGCTGCCTGTGGGAACTGGCCCTTCCCAAAGGCTCAGCCGATCTCCCACCCCTTCTGCCGGCTGTCATTTGCCCCCTGAGCAAAAGGAACGGGATGCCCATCCCGGGTTCCAGGTCCAGGCACCGGCGGGGTAGAGACCACAGACCTGGGAATGAAATGCCGGGCAGCGGGCCCACTAAGGCACCGGGGCAACCGGGCGCGGGAACGCGGGCCAGACCGGCCCCGCCCCAGGGCGCGCGCGCCCGAGGTTCCCAATTCCGCTGCGGCCCGCCCCCTTCCCTCCCGCCCAACCAACAGCCACTTCCTGCCTCACTACTAGCCAATCCTCACACTCCACGAAGAATAGCCCTAGGGGGCGTATGGGAAGGTGCATGGAGCGATAGCCGCAACGACCAACCGAACCCTGGAGCTTGCGCGAGGGGGTGGGACTTGGCGTCGGCCGTAGCTACTCAGGGGCGAGGGGCGGACGCAGGGCCGGGCTTCGCGCGGTGGGGCTCGCTCGCGCGGCAGCAGCGGTAGCCGAGGCCTCTTGGTTCTGCGGCACGTGACGGTCGGGCCGTCTCTGCTGCTGTCTCCACTGCAGCGCGGGGCCAGGTGTGCGGGCGGGTGGAGGCGCGGGCGCCGCCGAAGGTCCCCGTAAAACTCGAGGTAAGACTGGAGGCCTGCGCGTGTCCTCCTGCCTGCGAGGACCCCGGGGGGCCCGGGTGCGCGGCGCGGCGGCCGAAGGGCCGGGCGTGGTCGGGGCCGAGGGGGTCGGGCTGGGTTTCGAGGGCCCAGGCCTCGGCAGACGCGCCAGTCGTGAGGGACGAGGCCCGAACCGGGGCCGCTTGGTTTGGGGAGCCAGGCCCAGGCCGCGCTGCTGGGGTCGGGAGGCGTGGCAGGTGCCCTGGAGCCTCCCTTGACCTCTGGGTAGCTAACTTCTTCCTATGGCTTTTCTTCTAGGGCTTTCTAAGGCCTTTCCTGGCTACCTGGGAAGCCGCGGGGTGGGTTGGAGTAACTGGTAAAGGTCCGGGTGGGATCGGGCCTAGTCGGTACTCTTAGCAGGGGGAAAATATGGTATCAGACCGAGGGAGAATGTTTAGGATTAACATTACACGTTCAATATTGGAAAATAAAGCCGCAAAGGGAAGACTGAACCCTAGCACCCCGAAGACTATGGAGAATGTGCTAGAACACGCGTTGGTTGAATAACTTCAGCCTTAACATGTATACCTGTTTGGGGGTGGGGAGTAATCCAGTCGGAAATTCACCGGTCATTAAAAGCAAGAAAGCCCCTGAAAAGCTTACTGTGGGCAGGTCGTTTTATAGTGGAGGAAACTGAGACCCAGAGATACGAAGTGACTGGCCCAAGGTCATGCCATTAATTTTATGATAACGTTTGGGATTATAGTTGAGGGCAGGGCAGTTTTGGTGTAGTGTGTAAGGTTAAAGCCCGGGTCGAAATCCTTTATGGACCATTTGCTGCTGTGTGAAGTTCTCCCCAAATAATGGGCATAATAGTACCTGATGGAGTTGTTAGCATTAAATTGAGATGTGTGTAAAATAGGAGAAGTCTGACCTATATTCACTGCCAGATCAATAATGATTGCAATAAATTATTACAGTCTGAATGCCATTGGTCCAGTACACTGACATCCTGCTCTTTGAATTGGTTAATTCCTGTCTCCCACGACTGAAGTTACTTCATTAAAAATGAAGTACATTTTTAGCAGCAGGAGGGAGAACTGGATCTAGAGAGTTAAGGCAGGGCATAGCACAAGTGAATGGTTGAGGGAAGTTAAACTGAGCCGAATATTAAAAGCTTGGGAGGACAAAGGTGAGCCAAGGTTAAGTCTCTTTCCCTCTAATTTAGAAAATGGAACATTGCAATTCTTTAATGTGTAGAGTTTTTTGGGATTTGTTGTCAGTTTTTAAGAGAAGAATTGTATTGGTTTTTGAGATCATTCTCTAGCTTAACTTTTCCAGCATTAAAAAAAAAGTTCTTTTTTGAGGGTCATGACTAGAATTACTGCCATGTTTGTACACTTGCTGGGACTGTACTTAGAGCGGACTTGGAACGGAGGTTAAAGCACTGTGTGCGAGTTCTCCTTTGCACCAGTCAGGGTCACAAGCCAACAGGCCCAGTCACGAGAAGGCTCGGGTGAACTGTGTGTTGGAGCGAATGTGTCCCAGAAAAAATAGATTTTCTGACCCATCTGAAAATGGGTATCCGCATCCCTCCCCACCTAACTTATCTTAACAGGACAGACAGTTGAACTAACACGCTATCTTCCAAGAACCATGAGAGGTAAACGTCTGGGCAGAGGCTGTAGCTGCCGTTTGGCAATCGTGCTGTTGCATCCTTTAGTTAGAGTCACTTTGCCCTACAAGATAGCCTAAGGGACAAAGTGACAGTTGAAAGCAGAATGCAGACAGAGTCTTGAATTCCAGGCCCAACATGGTAACTAGCTTAGGAACCCACCTCAGTTTCCACATCTTTAAAATGGAAATGGGAACTCTCCCGCACCGCACCGTTAGGGCGCTACTGGGAAGGACAAATGAGTTGGGGAAGAAGGAACTACTTTGAATAGTGTGCAAATCGAAGAACTGGCAGTTCGTTAACGACTCCTAAGCGAAGTAGAAATGTTCGAGCATAGTTGTAACTTACATAGCTTACTGTAGGACTTGGTCAGAAAAGTACTGGTTGGATGCTTTTTTAACTGCAACAGATGTACTTTTAAATTAAGCTTAACTGGTGCTGTGAAGACTATTTGGAGAATTTTTTTAAAAAAAGAATTTAGAGAATCTTCAGCAATGTGTTTTGAGTATTCACATGTTAAACATACTTGGTTTATAGCAAAAAAGAAAGTGCTGTGGAAAAACGGACTATAACGTTCCTGTCAATGAAAAACAAAATTTAAAACTGTAAAGAAGGTAGTATATATATATATTTTTTAAATGAATGAAATATATTTTTAAACAAAGACCATATTTTATGTAGTTTTCTCCTAGCTTTTGAGTTTTGACTAGATGCATGTGAAGGTATAAAAAGTAGTAGTAAAATGGTTCGTTTGTACCTGCAATCAAGTCCCTTTTAACTGGTTCCTTCCCAATCTAAGATTTAAAATTTCTCATTTGCCTTAAAACTCAAAGTTTTAGAACCATTGAAACTTAAATGGTATCACTGGGCGATACCTAGTAATAGTAGAAATCATGGCTAATGTGGAGCGTACATACGGTAAGCCAGGCACTGTCATTTTGTTTATAGAGTGATCCTGAGAAATATATGGTAGTGGTGGTCTCATTTGAGAGATGAAACTGAGGCCCCGAGGTTAGTAGTTGACTCAGTGTGCCAAGTTATTGGATGGTTGAGAGATTTTGACTTCTGAGTTCCTGCTCATAAACATTACTGTATATCTAACTGTGATTTAGGACAGTTTACGTAACTTCTCTTAGCTTTATTTTTCTCATGTGTCAGTTGAGGGTGATCGAACCTCCTGGGGTTCTTGTGAGGATTAAATTAGATAACTGAAAATACCTAAAACCTAGAAGACTTAAATTTTGAAAAAGGTATTTTAGAGGTGAGTGGATAACCTACATGAAAGACTGCCTCCTTTTTTTTTTTTTTATCATACGCTGCCTTTTTAAATTAAAGAGAAAGAACAAATTTTATTTTTGAGAGAGAGAGAGCACGAACAGGGGAGGGGCAGAGAGAAAGGGAGACACACAATCCAGAGCAGGCTCCAGGCTCTGAGCTGTCAGCACAGAGCCCAGCGAGGGTCTTGAGCTCATGAACCGTGAGATCATGACCTGAGCCGAAGTTGGACGCTTAACTGACTAGGCCGCCCAGGTGCCCCTATACGCTGCCTTTTTAAAAATCACTTTTTTGGGGCGCCTGGGTGGCTTTGTCGGTTAAGCGTCCGACTTTCGCTTAGGTCATGATCTCGCGGTTCGTGGGTTCGAGCCCCGCATCGGGCTCTGCTGACTGCCAGCTCAGAGCCTGGAGCCTGTTTCAGTCTGTGACTCCCTCTCTCTCTGCCCCTCCCCTGCTCACGCTGTCTCTCTCTCTCCTAGAAATAAATAAAACATTTAAAAAAAATCACTTTTTTTTTTTAAACCAAGAACATTAGCTAGGTCATTTCTTCTGTTCATCTTTCTAATTTTTCATGGATTAAAGGAATTAGTTGAAATATCTTCTTTTAAAAGATGAGTCCCACAAAGAAAAGCCCAGAACCAAATGGCTTTACTAGTTAGTTCTACCAAATACTTAAGAATTAACAGCAGTCATTCATAAACTCGTCCAAATATAGAAGAGAGAACACTTCCCACTCATTCTATGAGGCCAGTACTAACCCCCCTGATACCAAAACCAAAGACTTCACAAGAAAATTGTAGACCTGTATTGTGTTAACATTTTTAAGTTTATTTATTTTGAGAGAGAGCACATGAGTGGGAGGAGGGGCAGAGAGAGAATCCCAAGCAGGCTCGGTGCTGTCAGCACCAGCCCAACAATGAGGCTCTGTCTGTATCTATAGATCTGTATCTATAGATCTTGACCTGATCTGAAATCAAGAGTCAGATGCATAACCTACTGAACCACCCAGGAGCCCCTGTAGACCTGTACCTTTTATGAAAATAGAT